GCTCTTTTTGGAGAAAGAACCAGCTCTTCTATTTGGCATCGCAGACTTGGACATCTCAATCCAAAGATTACCTAACATCTTATCAGTTCCTTTAGTTTACTTGTTTCTAATAAGGACCGTACCTTCTGTACTAATTGTCCATTAGGCAAGAGTCATTCTTTGTCGTTTCCATCTAATAATTTTGCTGCTTCTCATCCACTGGAAATTTTATTCTGATGTTTGGGGATCAACTCTCATTTTATCTAAACATGGATATTGATATTATTTGCTATTTGTGGATGGTTTCAATAAATTTTTATGGATTTTTCCAATGACTCATAAATCTCAAGTGCATGCTATTTTTGAAACCTTTTAAAATAATGTTGAGAATTTGCTTGATTGTAGATCAAAATTCTACAAACTGATGGTGGAACTGAGTACAATTGTCTCCAACCTCTCTTGCACCAATCTAGCATTACATTACGGTGTTCTTGTCCACACACACAAAATGTCTCAGCTAAGCGTCACCATTGACATATCGTTGAGACTAGCTTAATTCTTATGGCTACTACTTCTCTTCCTAAGGCCTTTTGGTATGATGCTTTTAAAACAATGATATATTTGCTTAATCGTCTTCCTAAACCTGTTCTCAACATGGTTTCTCCTTGGAGGTGCTTATTCGGTTTAGATCTTGATTATTTATTTTTGAAAACATATAGGCGTGCTTGCTATCCCAATTTGAGACCATATATTGATTTGAAGCTAGATTTTCACTCCAAACAATGTCTTTTTATTGGGTACAATCCCCATCACAAGGGGTATCAGTGCTTGGACTTGGAAACTGGACGTGTTTATAGCCTTGCCTCCACCACTGCTGAACTCTTGTGGCTATGCATGTTGCTCACTGAATTGGGTTGGAAACCTTCCTCTCCTTTTGTTTTATGGTGCGATAACCTGAGTGCCAAATATTTTGCTTCCAATCCAGTGCTTCACTCTCGCACCAAGCACATAGAGCTGGACATTCACTTTATTTGCGAGAAGGTGGTTGATAGTTCCCTAGCAAGGATCAAGTTGCAGACATTCTAACCAAACTGCTTCCCTCTAGACGATTCCATGACCTGAAGCTCAAGCTTATCGTGTCCAAACGACTTATCAGCTTGTGAGGGGATGTTAAGGAAGCCACATCAACTATACAACTCGATAATAGATGAAGATAATCCCTATCACTTTGCTCAATAGATAACGATAACCATTATCTTTCTGTTGTAACATGTTATTCTTTCTCTCTTTGTAATCTTTATCAGATTGACACAACAACTATATATATATGGACTCCTAAAACACATAAAACTTTGCGAATGAGGTAGTGAGTGCCCAGAAAGTTGTATACTTCAAACTGAAGGACGAGGGAATGTGGGAGTGTGAGGTATCTCCCTCTAGTCCTACTTCTACATAAACCTATCTGCTTAATAGAATTTTGCTATAAGTAAATAATAGATGCACATTGTTGTCTGGCTTTCACAAAGGTTTTCCATGAACAAAGTGTTGACAACTGGAATAAGATGAAGAGAGGTTGGAAGATGAAAATCATACTTACCACATTTTTGCCATGAATCCTGCAATTGTTTCGAAAGTTTGAACTCCAAGAAATAGATAGTTTAATTTGCCAGTTATTGATATGCCTTCTCTGTATTCTCTACAAGGTCTACTTATCAATTTTCTGCCATGACTCGTGTGATTTTGTAGCATTTCCATTTTTTCCATGAGCCTAACTATTGGGATCTTTTCATCAATGTCCAAATTAATTAGGATTCAAAAATGTTCATTTCCGTATCACCTGGCCCGTTGTGTATGGCTTGATAGTTTGTGTCCTTTTCTTTCAATTGCACATTCTGTATTTTAGTTTGCAATATCGTATATGTTAAACATTTTCATTATATCATTAATGGCCCCATGGGTTTATAGTCAATCAGAATTGGAATGGTCTATTCACATAACATGTTTGGTTCAAACAGGAACTAAAAGCTGAATTGGAATAAACTGAAATAGAATCTCATTCTCAAAGGAGGGGGAGGGAATGGCCATTCCCTCAAATGGAGAAATGCCATTCCACCAGGAATGAGAATAGGATTTAGATCCATCCAACCAAACAGTTAGAATCGAAATGGACCATCTTGATCCAATTCCATACCTCTATTCCCATAAACCAAATGGGCCCTAAATGATTGAGAATCACCTGTAACAGGATTGAGTTATTGAATGGACAATTAGGCAATCCTAAGTTCTTCGCTCGTGTTTATTTCAAAATAAAACTTTACTCCAGAGCGAAGTGTGTGGGTTAAGGGGAGTCTTGGGTTTGGGGGTTAGGCCAGCCCCTAGTTGTGGATTGCAAAGTAGATGTACAACTTGGGCCAGGTTCGCCTAAGCCCATTAAAAAGTTGGTTTTGTTTCAAAAATCAATTTATGTTTTTAAAAGCATCAAAACTATAGTTTTAAAAACAAAAACAAATTTAGTACTACAAAAAGCGATGCAGCAAAGGCATTGTTTGGTATAGCTTCTGTTTATCCGATAAACAGTGCTATGCCATTGCCAAATCAGCATTTATCCCATCATGATATTTTATATGCATATTTATTGATAAATTCTTATCTTAATTTACGTGTAAGCCAACCATTAGGGAAAACTTCATTTTAATGCTTCCCCAACACAAAAATATTTATTTACTGTTCTGCTGATGTAGCATTTAGTGACGTTTAATTGTCCACAAATCTTAGAAAAACATTTATTAACCATTTTTTCTTTGTTTTGATGACAAATTAAATACAAACTTTTATTTAATAAACGAAAGCTATACCAGACACAGATAATCCATGCCCAATGAGCGAGTGATACGTGATTGAGGCAAGGAAGGACATGTAGATGAGTTGAAGAACCACAACACTCCAGCCCCTGAACCCTTGTGCATGACCAGCAAGTCAATGCCAAGGAAACACCACGTGTCTTACTACTTAGTGGGACATGTGGTGGATACAGGAAAGTTCCAGTTCCAAGCCAACCACCCAAGTTGGTGCAATGGCTTGCTCTCATCCCCATCCATGGTAGGACGTGTCACGTGTGGGCCACATCAGAGAACGGCTCGGTCAGGGACTCCCTTAGAGGATGGCAATTGACACGTGTCCCATGAATGGAAAGTGCAACAGCTCCCAACGCCTATACGAGGGCATTCTGCCTCAAGTCTCTCTCTCTATATGCACTTTTACATTCTAAACTCTCTAAGGCCCTGTTTGGTTCACAAGAATAGGGGTTTAGAATCGGAGTCAGAATGGGTTATTCCAACTCCAATTGTTTGATTGGGCAGAATCGGAATCTCATTTCCCTTCTTGCCGCAATGGTATTCCCTTATTTGAGGGAATGACCATTCCCTACCCCTCCCTTGGGAATGAAATCTTATTCCTGCTGATTTCTAATTCATGTTTGAACCAAATAAATTATAAGAATAGACCATTCTGATTCCAATTCCAACTCTGAACCAAACAGACCCTAATTCTCTTCACATCTTCTTGCACTCACAAGCTCATAGCTTGCCGTCGCACAACTAGTGTTAGAGCTCTCTCCCCGAGGATCCATCTCGAGGCCTCTAACCGTTCTTGTGCTCGTGGTCACCGGAATCTTACAACTTATTCAGCTAGCTTGAGAAACCTCAGCTCTTCTAGCATAAAAAAAAAAGTATATAATTTATGGAATATCATATCAATAACTAGATAAAAAGTATTCTTTAAACGAACATGTTTTCAGTTTCAGTATTGGATACAAAAAACACACGTAATCAAGAACATGTTTTCTGTGTTTTTATTTTAAGAATCAATTTATTTTTAAACCAGCTTATTTTGTTTTATTTTTGAAACTAGTAACAAAGAAAAACAATTCACATTGGATCTCTCCCTTCGTATTTATTGATCTTTTCTATAGATGGAAACAACCCTTGTACAGAGTGAGAGAAGACATGGATCCGTGTTGGAACCTCTGCAGTGGTGGAAGATGTAGACAAGCTAATTAAAGAAAATGAAATCTCAGAATACCATAATGTTTGGCCTTTGGGAATGGTGATCTTCGAAGCTGAAGACATTTGGCAACAAACAAGGTTTACAATGGTTGTTTGATGTGTTTTTCCCCTTCAGACTTTGAGTTAGGGATCTCCTCCTAACAAAAACCGTTCCAACACTTCCAAATGATATGTATCCCTAAAACGTAGATTAGGAGGGATCATCTAGTAGGGGTAGGTATCTACTACCAATAAAACGCTACTAATCCTATCCCAACAGGCCACTGCAGCCTCATATTAATAACATTTTCCTTGTTATTTACAGGGAGATGTTTTCAATGTAAGGCTGCAATGGCCGGTTGGGACGTTGTTGGCACGGTTTATTGGTAGCTGATCGGAATTCTTCTAATAGAAGATCATACTAGAATGAGTTGGAACGGTTTTTTCGTTTAAACTTGGAAGACTCTTCAGACCACAATGAAATGTCTGATAAGGTTAACATTTTCCAACCGTGACCTTCCAGAGACTCTGGAATCACCCTCACAGGACTGTGGAAACAGAATATCTCTATGCTTTTTTTTCATAGCGAGATATTCCTTAACAACGATGTAAGGGTCTTGTGAGGACTGTGCGAACCGTGTGAGCATGGTATTGGGACGACCAAATCCGATTTTGATCTTCCTTACACTGATCTATTGAGACTAACCCAATACTAATTGGGTTTGGCCCAATTGGGTTCCCGGCCCAAAATGGCCAGTAAAAAGTAAAAAGTAAAAACTATATACTTTTTAAAGACAATGGATAATTTTAACATTTTTAATAGACAATTAACTGTATAGAAACTAAATTGACACTTTTAAAAGTTTAGGTAACGTAGTGACACGTTTGAGACGTTTGAAAGCAGGGTACACTACTCCCACAGTTCATGTTAGTAAAGTGGAATTCTCCCAAATTCTTTATATCTCCGTATTTATCGCCAACATCGCAGACAACAAACGAAGCCAAATGTAAAATTTGCAGAAAAGAAATCGAGAAAAACAAAAAGAGCTATGAAAGCAAACATTCTCAGTCCGGGTTCCACTTCCCCCACTACTAATCTCTAGTCTCTGCTCTTCCTCGGAGACCTTACCTTTTTCATCTCTCCAATGGCTACCACGCTCTTCCCCATGTCTATTCTCTTTTTCTTTCTCTTATCCCTCCTCAATCTTCCTCTGCAAACCCTAACAGCTTCGACTGATCAGACAATCAAAACCTTCATCTTTCGTGTAGACGAGCATTCCAAGCCTTCCGTATTCCCCTCTCACTATCACTGGTACAGCTCTGCCTTCGCCGATCCAGTTCAAATCCTTCACGTTTATGACACAGTCTTCCATGGCTTCTCTGCCACTCTAACTTCCACTCAAGCTGCTTCCATCCTCCAAAACCCTTCCGTCCTCGCCGCCTTTGAAGATCGTCTTCGGCAACTCCACACCACTCGTTCTCCTCAATTTCTAGGCCTTCGGTACCAGCAGGGCCTGTGGTCGGAATCGAATTACGGATCCGATGTTATAATTGGAATCCTGGACACTGGAATTTGGCCTGAGCGGCGGAGCTTCTCCGATCTGAATCTCGGCCCTGTTCCGGCTCGGTGGAAAGGTGTCTGTGAGACTGGAGTTCAGTTCAGCTCTGCTCATTGTAACCGGAAGCTCATCGGAGCTAGGTTTTTCTCTAAAGGCCATGAAGCGGCGGGGAGATTCGGCGGACCTGGTGGAATCGGGGGGATCAACGAAACTGTTGAGTTTCGATCGCCGAGGGATGCAGATGGTCATGGAACTCACACGGCTTCGACTGCTGCAGGTAGACACACGTTCAAGGCGAGCATGGCCGGGTATGCGTATGGAATCGCGAAAGGTGTAGCTCCCAAGGCTCGATTAGCTGCTTACAAGGTATGCTGGAAGAACTCTGGCTGCTACGATTCCGATATACTGGCTGCATTCGATCGTGCTGTCTCCGACGGTGTAGACGTGATTTCTATCTCAATCGGTGGTGGTGATGGCGTTTCTTCGCCGTATTATCTTGATCCAATCGCGATTGGAGCTTATGGCGCTGTTTCGAAAGGGGTTTTTATGTCGTCTTCGGCCGGAAATGATGGACCGAATGGCATGTCCGTAACGAACCTTGCACCATGGCTCACCACCGTAGGAGCTGGGACCATTGATCGCAGCTTCCCTGCCAGTGTAATTCTCGGCGACGGTCGGAAACTCTCCGGCGTATCGCTCTACTCAGGGAAGCCACTGAACGGAACCATGTTCCCTCTGGTTTATCCTGGTAAATCGGAGGTCCTCGCTGCTTCACTCTGTATGGAGAATTCTCTTGATCCCAACCTCGTCAAGGGAAAAATTGTTGTCTGCGATCGCGGAAGTAGTCCGAGAGTTGCCAAGGGTTTGGTCGTGAAGAAAGCAGGAGGTGTTGGAATGATTCTCGCTAATGGAGTCTCCAACGGCGAAGGCCTCGTCGGCGATGCTCATCTTCTCCCTGCTTGTGCAGTTGGAGCCAATGAAGGAGACACGGTGAAGTCCTACATTTCGTCCTCTTCGTTTCCGACGGCCACAATTACTTTCGGCGGCACCGTGATCGGTGTCAAGCCGGCGCCCGTAGTGGCTTCTTTCTCTGGTCGAGGACCCAACGGTTTAACCCCGGAGATCCTTAAACCGGATCTCATCGCACCCGGTGTGAACATTCTAGCTGCCTGGACCGAAGCGGTAGGTCCAACCGGGTTAGATTCCGATAGCCGGAAAACTGAATTCAACATTTTATCGGGCACGTCGATGGCTTGCCCTCACGTAAGTGGGGCTGCGGCGTTACTGAAGTCTGCCCATCCGAATTGGAGCCCAGCAGCAATTCGATCGGCGATGATGACCACTGCGAGCATCGTCGATAACCGGCTGCAGTTGATGACTGATGAGTCCACCGGGAAACCAGCAACCCCGTACGATTTCGGCTCTGGTCATCTCAACCTCGACCGTGCAATGGACCCTGGTCTGGTCTACGACATTTCAAACAACGACTACGTGAGCTTCCTGTGTTCCATTGGTTACGGACCAAATACAATCCAAGTGATCACAAGGACACCAGTTAATTGTCCGGTGAAGAAACCGTTGCCGGAAAATTTGAATTATCCGTCGATCATGGCGCTTTTCCCGAGTACATCGAGGGGGACCACGAGCAAGTCTTTCATTAGGACGGTGACAAATGTGGGACCGATGAACTCGGTGTACAGAGCGAAGCTCGAAGCTCCTCCCATGGGGATTTCAGTGATGGTAAAGCCGACGAAGCTGGTATTCTCAGAGTCGGTGAAGAAGCAGAGCTTCGTTGTGACGGTAACTGCCAATACTCGAAATCTGGTGTTGGGTGAATCGGGTATAGTATATGGTTCGTTGTCTTGGTCGGACGGGAAGCATGTGGTCCGAAGCCCCATCGTGGTCTCACAATTGGAATCATTGTGATCGACGGTTGAATTTATTTTAATGCATCCATCGGCTGGTAAGATTGGAACGTTAGATTAGGTTAGGCCGAGTGTGATTGAATATTCGCTCGGTAGATGAGAAACAAAAACAGTTCCAGCATTAGCAGGCTAGCAGCAGGGTTTATTTTATTATAAATAGGATTGGTTGTTTCTGTTTTTTTACTTTGAACATGTTAGGTTTTGGGTTGGGTTGTTACTTGTCAGACGTTCTCCTTTTTACGGTTTTGATTTCCTCTTGGCTGTTTTTACTCGTGTATTACTCGCACAATGTATGTAAGTGAAGCACTAAAGACATAATATAGATGGTGCAATGCTCTTCATGCACGTTTGCCCCAACCGAATTGTATCTTTTTCTTTTTTTTTTTTTTAATAAGCAGATATGGACTATATATAGGCAATAGCAGCAATAGATTTCAAGTTAATGGGGTTGGGATCAAAATTAAAACAAGATGGAATAGAATGAGGTGGGTTGCAATCGTAAATTAAGAAGAAAGCTGAGATGGTAAGAGTGTGTGTAGCAGTGTAGGGGTATTGGACCGGACTTGGTCCAATCCGGTCTAATATGAATCCATTGCACATGGATCAGGTCTAATCCAATCTGATGAATACTTAAGACCCATTTGGATGTATGAACCATTTAATCTGTTCAAATTAGTTTTAATTTAGATCGGTTCTAACCCAAATCTGGTGCATTGACACCTATGGACCGATATTGGTTCAGTCCAATCCAATAAATGTTCTAGATTGATCCAATCCAATATGTGTTAGTAATGTAATATGGAACTCATGCATGTCTTGTCACCCCACAATTTTTAAAATTTGGTTGTGCTTTTAGAATGCGTAGTGCCTTTCATTGGTAGTGGGATGGGAACATTGATTACGAATGAGTGCACTTTGTTGCTTTGCTTTATACCTAATCCTCTCCCCCTTCATAAAAATCATAACTAACCAAGTAATGTAGAAGATCCACCTCCAATACTATCACCTTTGTTTATTTTATTATTTTGGGAGCCGGGTGGGCTAGCCTGTACTTTTAACATTCCAAAAAAGTGCTTTTTTTTTTTAGTTTATCTGAACTCTATTTCCTATATATTAATACTGCCATTTAAGCCTCTAATTTAATGTCATTCTCATTGAACTTTATGCACACCTTAAAATTGCATTTTCAATACTCATTATGATGTGAATGTGATACTTTGAACCTTCTAACTTCAGCATTTTTGCAACATCACTCTCTAAATTATTGCATTAAGCGTCCATAATTTTTAACACATTGAATATATGACACTGAACAGAACAATAACAGAATGGCGAGGCGAAACAGGATTCATGTAGCCAATCCTATATAGTTCGGTGATGGTGACTCTCTAAACTATGTAAACCCCATCACACTACACTGCATTTTCATGCAATGTATCCATTTTTTACATGATATATGAAGTCAAGCTAGTCACATTTTTTGAATTGTTTGACAGCTAAATGTGCTTGCAAATTTGCAAAATTGGGGGGAAAGAATAGTTTTTGATAGAATATTGACCAAATTAGCCATGTCTCATTTATCCTTGGTTAAAGGCTTAGAACAGAGATAAACCAGTAGGTAAACCACGTATTAAATGTGAAGTTGCCTCACTTGCTTATTGACAATTAATTAATTCATGGTTTTATATGATATTTAAAGTAAATTTACCACAATATGGAAATACATATGTCACATGTCATATTACTATGCACCCTTCAAAAAAGTATTTCCACACAAGAAAAGAAAATAGAAGAGGAAAAAAAGTCTGCTTCTTTCGCTTGGATCTGTGATCATTTCATTGGCTGGTTTAATTTACTGGTAAAATTCATCCCTGTATTGGATGCAAAGTTTATTTTAGATATTAGTTATCAACCAAAAAAGGTATTTAGGTTTTGAACTCAATGCAAAGTTGCAAACATGAAATTAAATATAGAAGTTGCAATCTTTCTTGGAACAACATGGATTCTAATATTCTATTATTTGAAAAACAAACACTCATTTCATTTGATGCTTATTACTATCCAATATTTTTTGGGGTTTCTATTAGATAGCCTTTATCGGGTCTACTGTTCTGACTTCTGAGAGTTCAGTTTGAAAAATTTTTCAAGTAATCTTCCTACTAATCTCTTATTGAATGAATATATATATATATATATATATATATATATATATATATATGAAAGTCTCTGAATTCTTTGGTTGTGTCTGTACTGACGAGGATAATAAAAGTGGAATTGTGTGTGCTTTCGTTAAAGGTGGGTCAGCCAGAATATGAAAATGGGTGGAATTTAAAGGAACGAATTCCAACAATTCAAGTGAGAATATGAAATTCTTAGGGAGGTACTACTCATTTTAAAATTTCTCTCTTGGATGGATTTGAAATCCTTATGGAGGGAGATGGTTGTTTTGAAATCCCTTTGTCAAGGGGAATGCGGAGATGGCAGGAAATCAATGTCCACATAGCTATAGGCAGCTCGAACCAAACACACAGAAGAATCGTCAACATTTTTGCCACGAGGCAAGCAGCAGGCAATGGCAATTGTGCCTTCTGGGGATTCTAAAGTATTAATCCAAATTTAGAAGCACAAATCAGAAGGTTTTTCAAGGCTTATGGGCACAGTTATCAATGGAGCCCACCATGAAGAGAGGAGACTTCTGGACTCAATAAAGCTCCCCTCACAGCATTGTTTTGATTTTTCTTTATATATACAAGAATCCATAAATCACTGAGTTTTCGTCTGTGCCGATTAGCGGCTGTTTTGGTATCGTTGCCGTTTGTTGGTGCACGGCGCCACATTAGAAAAAATAGTTTTCCAGAAAATAGGCATTTGTTTGGAACTATTTTTTTATAAAAAATGGTGTGTTAAGTCACGCCTCAGAAATGGGAAAGTCATGGTTTGGAGTAATGTTAAATTTGGCATTTCCTGGAACAAGGGCAGTGATGTGGCACTGGATAATTTGTACCAGTGTTGAAAATGTTTCGTAGAGTAATGGTACCAAACAGAAAAAGCTACTATTGTTCAAGAAAACATCCTACCTGATAGCAACAATTCCAAACAAAAATAAAGACATCATTTTCTAAGAAAACAATGTTTTCAACCACACATCAGTAGCACCGTTTTTTTTAAATCAAACATATACTAAGCTTTCTTTTGAAAATCAAAAGAAAGAGTTCATGACTTCAGATAGAAAGCTGAATTGGTTTTCCAAGTTCCAACACCCATGGATAAGCAAAGATAGGAGTTTTTTTTCTCATATATCCAGGGTGGCGGAGTTTGGATGAAGGCATACGGTTGATGATTCTACATTGTTACAGGCCATAGAGGCCATCATATGTGCTATATTGTTTTGACGTGGAATATATACAAAACGACATAATTGAAACTTAGAAACAAGACACCTGATGTTTGCCAAGAAAGTGAAAATGATATATGTTCACCATGACCAACTACTGCATAAGGCCAAAGGGAGCAGATATGTACAATCCAAACAAACAAGCAAACAAAGCCCACGAGACAAATGACGTTTTGTGTTACATTTTTCATGGCTTGACCATCACTTTGAGAAGGGACTTATCATACATCTCAGAAAAGCCAACCGTTACTTACGCTTAAAATTAGAGCCATCCCATCCATTCCTTTCCATGTGATGGTTGGTAGGTATCTTGAAGTTAAAAGGCCAGTGTTTGCAGCATATAATGTAATTTTTTTTTTTTATTTCTTTTGAAAGGCTACGCAAAGGGGTAGCCCATCCCCTAATTCAGGTGTTGGCGGGATTTGATTTAAGTCTCTGCTACAACTAGTAAGAGACTTACCAACCAGCTGGTTGCATCTTGCACAATATATATAATCTATTCAGTATTCATTTCACGTCATGGTTTTTAAAACCCGACCGGACGGACAGTCGGACCAGAAAAACCGAGAAATGGTCAAGTGATTAGTTTGTTTTTCCCCAAAACTAGATTTTTCCCAAAAACTATTGATTTTGGTCAGCAAATCGCTGACCCAGATGGTTAACTGTTCAAACGGTTTTGACCATTTTTTATTTTTTTTTATTTTTTGTCAGAACGGGCCGACTGTTTGACCCGGGAACCAGACCCCTGACCGGGTTGTTCTCCAGGTCGGTTTTAAAAACCTTGCTTCACGTTCCTTTCTGAGAGGGTGGAAAGCTGGTCAATGAGAATCCATGTTCCTTTTTCAGATTTATTTTTTTCTGGACACTACTTACCTGGGTAATTGATACCCATCTCCCAAGTGGATAAATAACTTTTCCACTTAAGGAGAAATTTTCCAACACTTGTATAAGATAAAATTGTCCCTTTTAATAATAGTTTTTTATAAATTAATAACTTCCCGAAAAGCAAATGAAACTAAGAGATTATGCAAAAATAGAGGATTTTGGGTTGCCCTCCACCGGAGAAGAATGATTTGGGCTTAGGCACCAATCACATTTCTAAAACATGGGGCATCTCATCACTGAAATAACAAAAGACATCTCCGTTTTTATAATTAATTTTGTGTTTTCAAGTACTCTTCACCAAGAGGGAATTGTAGCATATGGATGTATCTGAAGCGCACCAAGTATATTGTGTTGCCACCCAGTAGAAGCCTCCAACTTGCAATTTTCAGTGTTCAATGGACTGACGCTTCTACCAGACTCGAACTAAATGTTAAAGATGCAATTTCCCACGTCAAAGCTGACATGAATCCAAACGCAACCTTACCTCGATATTCAACTTGGACAGAGCAACTCTGCCGGATAAGGTATTGAGATTCAACTCGGCCAGGTAAACGACCAGTTGGGTTGACTTGAGGTCCAGTGGTCCATAATGCGGGAAAAACTAACCAATCTTTGAATTAATCTCTCTGGATCATGGGTATCAGCCTATTAGGAAAGGAAAAACTATCATAAATTATTTCCATGTACCGTCCAAGGACCTAACAAATCACAGTTTTGGGAATGAAGTCCATTGTCCACAGCGAACACCATGAAGAAAAAAGATCCAATTCTTTCATTTCCTGTTGATATTTATGAGAAATATACAGATACATTGGACCCAGCTTTCTCTGGTCGTGACTTCTATGGGTAAAAAAAAAAAAAAAAGATAACAAATAAAATAAAAATTGAAGAAAGAACAATCAAGACTACTCTACCCCCAACCCGTCGCTGGCAATCAGACATATCTTCCAGCTTTATTCAGTTCCACCCCTTCCACCTAAGCCAATTGGCTTCTCTATCCATCTCTTCGGCCATTTGTTTGGTAATGTAAGCACTGATCTTTTATATTTTCTTTCCTACACCAACAGCAGCTCCTCCCCAGAAAGAAAGGAGCCCTGGGTAAATTAAAAGTAAAATTAAAAAAAAAAATCTTAATTCCATGGTGGTTGCTTTTTGTAACTGCCGGAATATGGGTCCCATCCACTGTCGGGCTCCTTTCGCTTCATTACCATACCTGAGCTTGACGACTGTGACACAGACCTTATCTGTTCCTCAGAAGAGCGGCCTTGCCCCTGAATAAATAGCGGCGGGAAGCCCCCCATTTCCCTGTTCTCACCTTCTGCTAATGTTAAGCCTGAATTCAGATCAAATCCTGGACGTGATGACCCAACTCCATTCAATCCTGATGGAGGGCCAGTCATACTCATGATAAATGGTAATCGGGAGGATGAGACAGGTGCCGGAGAACCCACTACATGTGGCACCACGGGGGCACCTCTTGAATCAACCATGTAAGGAACAGAGCCAGGCACATATATAGCTGGTGGAAGAGACACAGGAGGCGGCCCCATTGTGAGGCCGTTGTAACCAAACATTGGAGTGGGTGTGAATGTCATTACAGGACGTGCCACAATGCCACTACCTAAGCTTGCCATATGGGATCCAGTCACAGATTCAGCAACCTGCCCATTTGGCAGCAATAACCGAGTTTGGGGTAAAATCTCCTTTTTATTGACCTCCACTCTAGCACCCATAATAGAGATGACAGGATCATTCAAGTCTCGGGAAGACAATTTCACCTCAGAAGGTCGATCATGAGAATCATCATGAACACATGGGCTGTCATTCAAGTCAATGTTTCTCAATGAAGGCTGCCTTGAGGATGAAGCTGAGGAAGGCGACGGGCTTCGATTACCATTTCGGTGATGATGAAGGAAATTTCCCTCCATTCTCCAATCTGATGATGGGACATCTTCATTTTCACCAACACGATTCAGGTCCAGCTTAAGTCTCTCCTGCCTTTTTGAACTCACTTCAATTGAAGATTCCCCGGAAGGGAGGCCAGATGATACTGGAATATGTTTTGTTAATACAAGACCAGTGACCCCTTCATCCTCAACCCCAGCTATGTTAAGATCAATATTAAGAGTATCCTGCCTCTGCTTTGAACTATAGCTGCTTCCCTCAACAGAGGGTGTCTTTTCACCATCTGGAGTCCTGCGAGGAGATGCTCGACGGAAAGCACTCGTTGCAGCAGAGCCCTTCCATCCCAGTTCCCCCCCAAAGTGCAGAGGGGTCATCAGAATTCCAGCAGTATTTGCTGCTTTGGAAACAGCAACAACAGGAATAGGAGCAGAGATTGGGGTCATTGGACGATCAGTTTCCTCTGAGCAGATCTCATTCAAATCAAAACCACAGATTCCCTTCTCAGTAGCATCTTCTGGTTCCTGAGCAGCCTCAGTGACCTGGGATGTCTCCACATCTTGCATGCAGTCTTCCGATTTTTCATCCCTGTTATCTGGATTTATTAAATGTTCTCCGTTTGGCGATGATGCCACTGCAGAAAGATTTTGTCCTGTTTGCACCTCATTTTCTGGTCCCAATGTCTGTTGGTCCTGCTCACCATTTATAGAATCAGGGCTTCGGGGTTGCACAACTCCACCTGCTGAATTTTTCTCAGAAGAAGAACTACACAATGGTTCTCTGTAATCCACTACCTCTCGCTCTACTTCTTTGGCAACTTGCCTGGCAACTTCAAGTGCATCATCAACACCATACTCTAGGTCCATCTCTGATCTTTTGTCAATCCTATCTGAGCCTTCGGTATCCATTGTCCATTGTGAGACATCAGCAGGTAGTCCTAACTCCTCTCCTTTCCCTACCACCAAACTTGGTTTACTGGAATGTTCCATAACATCTTTCACTGGGCCAATATCTTCCTTCCCACAAAAAGAAATATGTGAACCCTCCATCTTTCCTGGAATGCAGCCATTGCCAGATAGGTCCTGCTGAACATTGGAGAAGCATTCATTGTCCTGACCTCTAGACTTAATCTCCACTGTGCTTCTGGATTGTTTTGATACCCCACATTCAACTAACCCCTTCTTTGGATCTGACACTGCCATGACTATATCACTGTCAAGACCAAGCGAGGAATTCTTCTTCAGACAAAATTCCATCTCTTTTGTAGGTTCCACCACAGATTGCTGAGCATCAGGATCATCAGTTGAAGAAACACATTGAGGCCCCAATGATGCATAAACAGAAGGAATGTCCTTATCACAGTCAACTGGTGTATCTGTCTCTTTATCACCATCAGTGAAGTCTTTGAACTCTGGATCATCTGTGGACTTCTGAATATTATCATCAGCTGGACCTAGAGAAAGGCATGCCCCTGTTCCATCTGTATGATGCAAAGAGGAATTTTCCATCACAGAAGGGTTCTCCTGAGGATTGTTTGACATGACAGAGGAGCTCAGAGCATTTTCTGGAAGCCCATCTTCCTCTGTCTTGCTCAAAGTTGTGGAAGAGGTATCCTGATTATTAGACATAGGGAAATTTGTATCACTGAGACTCTGCAACTGAGAGCTGTCTGAGCTCCTTGAATGCTGAGATTCACCTGCAGCAAGCCCCACCACATGATTATCTTCATCAGCATTTCCCCTGAAAGATGGAACACCGGCAGCCACCTTCTCCACGCAATCACTCTCAGCAGTTATTTTTCCGTTGGGTGAAATTCCATCAAGGCAAGTCTCACTTTTCTCAGCATCTTTGTTAATGGGTTCACCATGCTTGCTTTGATTCCAAGAATCAATCAGAGCTCTTGCTCTGTCCTGAACTTTGAAGCTCTGGTGGCCGAAAAGATTTCTCACAGTCACCCCAATTCCAGAAGAAACTGATCTCTCTTTATCAATGGGCAGCTTCTCAAGTGCTCCTAATAGTGCAGTTATTGATTCTTCTATAAAACTGTCATTTTTTTCTTTACTGAATTTCTGCACTTCACAAAGCCATTGGTTTAGAAAACAGAGCCCGTCTAAATGAACAAAGCGGTCAAGACAACCTTGATTCTCAGTGGCTGCCAAGGTGCTTGCAACAGTAGACCACTGTCTTGCTGCTTCCCCAACATTCTTCACCGGAGGATCCTTTTCCTTTATCACAAAGACTAACTCCTCAACTCTGGCAGGGGCTGTAAGCCCATCCTTTATCTCAGTCAGGGTAAAGAAGTCTTCTAGCGTCATTCTATTTTTATACACCAAATGGGTAGTTCCAAGCTTTGAGTCAATCCTTCTAACATGCTCTTTTAGTTATTTGTGAAATCTAATTGTAGCTTAAGACTTGGCCCCAGTTAAGTGATTCTCTGCAATACATGGCATTGTAAGCTGACTAAGTATACAACTGTTTGATGTCAGAACCAGCATAAGAAATATAATGTTTCTATAAAAACAAAGGTTATATGAAATGAATTTATGAAACACTTGGGTAGTGAAAGTTAGAAGTTGAACAAACCCCACCCAACAAAAGGAAAGATAAATCAAATAAAAAAAAAAAAGAAAGAAACTTGTTTATGAATAATAATATGCACATTACACAAATACAAATATATGATGCAAGGATTGTTATGGAACTTGTATCTTTAAAAGATGGGAAATCACACTTCCTATACCCATTAAGCCTACATCTCCTAGAACTTATTAATGGGTTGAATGGCAACCTCCACCTCAAGGTAAAGGTTAAACTTAATACTGATGGAGGTTTCTTGATGGCTTTTCTGTGACCTATGGATATGGTCCATATTAATGATGTACACATTGCACATCTGAAGTCTTTGTAACCTCCCATTGCATTGAGGCCAATACAATGCCCTCTATTTACCCATTGCTTGGCTAATGAGTCAGCCAACCCATTTTTCGCCCTTGGAACCCATCTGGATAGATATTACCATTCCCCTGGTCAAGAATTTTATTTTCTTTATGGCATCTATGCAAGTCCAAACAGCCCCAGTCTCATCCATCAGCCAACCAATCACCACTTGGGAGTCCCCTTCAATAACCATCCTTTCTAAGTTCAACTCTTTTGCTTTTTTAACTCCACAAAGGCACAAAGCACAGCAAGTAGTTCTGCCCTTGTAGAGTCCCCCAAGCCCACAGGACCTAAGAACAAGGCTAAAATGTTACCATTCTTATCTTTAAACACACCTCCAAACCCCAAAGGGACTAGACTGCCAAAACTGTTACCATCAAAGTTAAGTTTAATAAAGATATCATCAGGAAGTCCCAGATTTTCTGAGATTTGCTCTTCCTTGTTGATGTTGCCACCTCATCCTTCCAATTCCTTCTTAAATCATCATGCGAGTACAGTGAAAACAGATTCAAAGAATTAACCCAATGAAACACCATTGTCATAAGACATGATTAGCACAGGGATGACCTTGACTAGGGACCAGAACACATGGCCCATTAGAGGCGGCCCACCTGATGATTGGTCTTGAACTCTTCATTGGTGACATCATCTGTCAGACGGGATAAAAATAAGGTAATTTGTCCAGACAAGAAAATTCAGCAATCAGTTTAGGAACTTCAGGGTTTTGTGGCACCCCTTTGTAAGAAAAGAATTTCATTCATCTCTCCTTGCACCAATCTCCAATTTGTGAATAACTTTCTATGTTCAATATTTTGAGCTCTTCCTCCTCCCTTCCAAAACTCTACTATTAACAGATTTTTTCTTCAAAATAATCTAACCCCCTATAAAATTTTGCATGAAAATAAAGGACCATTAATAAACACACCCAACACCATTACACCAAACATTTAACTCCCACAAGACATAACAAATAGTGATCTCTAAGTCTATCAAAACCCAACAAGATGATAACCTCATGGGTTCATACTTTATACATTGAGAGTAGGCTTGTGCTTTTGTTCAAAACCATTAAAAGAAAGTGTAGGAACTTCAGAACATATTCTATGTGGTTTTTACAAATGGCCTACAGCTTATCTATACTTCTATAACTCTGATTTATTTTCTTTTTCAAAAGTTTTGCAGGTTAAGTTCAACTAATTGAAGTCCATAGCTTTGGAAGTAGCAAGAACAGAAATAAAAAAAGTTGATATTCCAAACATCAAGAAATGTCCAAATCATGAACTTCTGTCAGTAATCCCCTAAAAATAAAATCATTTCCTGCTAAAGCAATTTATTAATTCTCACTCCTAAAAGGTTATAGCCTTTGTTAGGAAATTGTGCAATTGAGAGGGAATTTGTTAGTGGTGTTAGTGAAGGGGTATTTCAGTCTTTGTACTTGTTGAGAATGCTGATGTGTAYTGTTATGTTWGBTYGAGTGCCTCTTACTTAAAGAAGRGCACTCAAGTCTTTTTCAATAAGTCAATAATATAATAATAGGTCTGGCCGAATCAAGGGATTAACTTTTTTCCCTAATTCGAACCAGCCTTTCTCTCTTTTCTCTCTTCTCTCTTTTCTTCTTTCCTCTCCTACTTCTTGCTGTCTACTTTACTCTACAGTCAACGAACAAGACAGAATTCTATGGCAGGTCAAACTTCAACAGAATTAAATTAGACCATCACAACACCAGTGAGACAAAATGATCTGTTGCAAGTTGAAGGTTCCAGAAAAGATTACGGTAGGCCCAAAAAGCACATGGGTCGAAGTAGGTGACAAATGATTTGAGAGCCCATATTTTAACAATGGATAATGGCACTGGACAGAGTGGAAAGGCAGGACAGGATTCATTTAGCTGACCCCATATGGTCAGGACAAGGCTTAGTTGAGTTCAGAGATTATGATTGAATCGTGATGAGAATGTTGAGATAGATTAATGGCAGGACAAGAAAAGGATAGAATCAGAAATGAGCACATTAGAAAAGAGTTAAGAAGCAATTAGTGACAAGATGAGGAAGAGAAAGCAGATATGGTTTCATCATGTGAAATGTGCATAGACAACCAATGCCTGCACTGAGGAGTGAATTTGTGTAAGTAGTAGGCCCTAAAAAGCGAGAGAAAGACGAAAGAAAACATTGTCTGAAGTGGTAAAAATTAAATTAAGAATTTTTGACAGAAAATACGGCTCATGATTGACTATAATGGCAGGATAGGATTCCTGTAGCTGACCTCAAATAGTTGGCATTAAAATGTAGTTGAGTTGAGTTACAGTTGAGAGATTAAGAAAGAATTGAAAACAGTCATTGGGTGGTACAGAGAAGGAAGGCTGCTTGGCATTTTAGAAACCAATTTAGAGAACCTAGAGCTTCAGCATCTAGAATAAACATCTCAATCAGATGAGTTTGGAAATCAACCAAGCCTAGCTAGAGTAGTGGGAGACAAGACTTACGTTAGGGTGCTGCAACCAAGAATAATTTCACTTTAGTTCTTTGTTTTTCTGGGTTATGTTGATGTAATAATGCATCTACTCTTTTAGCTTACCACAAAAGGTTGGATCTGGATCCTCATCAGGGAATCAAAAGATTGCATTTTGGTTTTATTATCTCTTTGATTTAATAACTGATGAAAAACAATATTCTGTCAACAACCAAAATGTTCAAGTGGCAGTTCCATGATAAAAATAAACAACCAACCAAATCAAGGGACAGAGGCAAGGGAGCTACAGTACCTTGGTAGTTCTAGCTTTGGCCTTAATGGAAGAGCATTCACTACCCTTCAATTAATTTTCTGGCAACAGAATGAATTGTAGAACCACTTCTATTGGGTTGCTTGACTTCTGTTTACCATATTATAAATAATGATTGTGACGTCAATGGGTTAGTATACAATAATACAATGTAATTAAATTATTAAGCATTTAATAAAACAAAAGAAAAAGATCTAATATATGACCTTTTTTTTTTGAAAATGTAATATATGACTTAGAATCCTTAATAACAGATGGAAAGTTGATTTAATCCCCAAATATCATATTCATCCAAACCCTATTCCCACATTTCAGCCTGGAAACTGATTTGAACATGTAATCACTAGTAGATCTGTCAATCTGTCATCAAGACAAAAGTGACCAATTTAATTCTCTATGATAATTGTCTTGAGAGTAACAGAGTGGTAGTAGGAGATAATGATATCTAGACATATGTGTTCATCCAAACGATATCCAGAGATAGGTGTTTGACTTAGGGTTTGGTTGGGTCACAAGTTTCAACTTTTGGAGGGCATTTAATGTCAAATGTGCTTGAAATAATCTTCAATCTGCATATGGAGAAGCTCATCACCTTTGTCAGAGATCATTTGTCGAGTAGATGGAGTAAACAGGGTTGGTGGACTGATGACCCTTTTTTTATAGGAAATGGTAACTTTCATTGATGAAGTTAAATAAAGAGTACAATTATCACCACCCAACAGAAATATGATGTCAGGCAATCCCAACCCTGCTGGAGGGTTAATGACATTTGAAATTTATGCTTAAAAGCAACATATTAATTGATATAAATTGATCATTTGAACAACAAAAGACATTAAATGTTTAATGTACAAATTAACTTTCTTAAACCATTTAAATGGCAATGACAGTTTAGGTAGTAACTAAGAACTCAAAATGAAAATTCTAAGTAAGGCAATGGTACATGTCCTTAAGGGACACAATCCACACCAAGAAAAAGCACGGCAATACACAAAACATCCCGAAAATAAGCATGTCTTAAACTACCTGATACATACATAGAAATAGTGATATGGGTTTGAAATACAAATATGTGCACTGCACTAGACTATGATTTTTCTTTTAAAATAGAGTTAAATATGTGCCTGTCCCTATAACAATTTAGTATGTACATCAAAAGAACAGAACACTTTTTACTGTACAAAAGAAATGTAATTAATCACCGTAAAATCAATTTGTAACTATTTTAACCAAGGAAAATTAGAGGAAAGTAGTATGTATTTTCATAATAGGAATGGTTTCGAGCCAAATATCATAAAACAAAAGCACCAAGTTTATGCTTTATATGTTTGATCAATACTCTAGTGACTAGTTCAGGTATCAGCTCCTAACTAAGTTTTCATGGAAAATGATAAACATCAATATTCTCCTTTTTATTTCATGTTGACGATGGACCAATACAGAAAAGATACAGGTATAATTAGGGGTATGAGTTTCTTAATAATTTTAAATCATGGTTAATGGAAAAAACCACTGAACGATTTTTCCAATACATGCTGACACCTCAATCCAAACAGAGGGAGCAATAAATATGAATATGATAAATGTGCTAATCCAACAAGCCTCGCTTTGCAGGGTCCTCTACCAGTAAACTCAAAATACTAGAATGTTAATTCATAAGAATTTATTTTATCATATACAAGTATATGATTAACAGGAGATGATACATCGAAGCATATTCTCCTGTTAAACCATATTTCTTTATGCTAGGCTTTAGAGAGGCTGCCACTAGAACTACCATGTTTTCTACTTCTTTTTTGTAACCGCCCCCCCCCCTCAATCCAAATCAATAATGAAGAGATTATTTTTAGGAAATATGAAAGAACCAAGAACTCAATCAACCCACATAATCAGGAAAAGGGAAGAACTCCCTTTTATTTTTTTTTTTTTTTACTTTATTTTTTGATCTGCAACTTAAAGAGATTTATTAGAACTTAAAAAGAGAATAGTACAACAAGAAGTTATTAGAGATAACACCCAATACAGCAGAGAGCCCCCCACTTCCCAACTAACATTGATTCCAAAACAAATGACGTCTATTCACTCCTTATTTAGCTAAGCCATCTGCCAAACCATTAGCAGACCTCCTAACCCATCTTAACTGGATTTGCATATGTCTTGACAGAATCTTGAACCGCATGAGATCATTTCTGAATTGCCATAATACCCCTTCTCTTTTCTTCAGCCAGCCAATGACTATTTTTGAATCTCCTTCTACTATTAATCTTGTAATCCCCATTTCCTTGGCTTTTTGCACCCCAACAATAGCCATCAAGAGCTCAGCTCTCACTGAATCACCCTGCTCAATAGGCCCCAAAAACAAGCCACAAATGATCTCACTCCCATCCCTAATTACTCCTCCAATTCCAGACGGACCTGGATTACCAAAACTACTTCCATCAAAGTTAAGTTCCATCCAGTCTCCAAGATTACTTCCTTATTTCTTTCTTTATCCTCCAAGATTACTCCCTTTTATGATGATGATGATGATGATGATGATGATGATGATGATGATGATGATGATGATGATGATGATGATGATGACAATATCATGTTTTAACATATATGTAGTATGATTTGTTAAAATATGTAATTTACATATATTAAAAGTTTGAATGCTATAAACTATACATTAGAAGTGTCCGAGCAGTATTTGGTGTTGTATTGACTACTTACTGAGTCTGATACCAGTACACTTACAGTAGGCATGTATAGGAAGTAAAAGTGCAAAACAAATATTATTGCAACAACTGTCATCCAGAACTCCATGATACCTTAATTAGAAGATGTCAACACCTTAAAAATCAGTCGTTTGAAACACCACTTCAACAAATGTCCACTTTCCATAAATAACAAGCTGATCTTTTTGGCCAATCTTTCTCTAACAGGTTGGAACGGAAATGGCTGAGTTTGGGAATAAATTAGAATGGGATCAACCCATAGAGTTCCATCTAAATAAGTAAAGCCTCTAGATCGTAAAGTCTGGTTTCAGGAGACTAGACAAACCTTGTATCAATTCAAACTTTAAATTCAAGAAGGACTTCATTTTTTAAGTATGGGTCCATGTAGTAAGTAGTAACCCATCAAAAAGATCAACATGAAAAAGCCAAAACAAGCCCCTTGCAGATTGTTCTAAGTGTAGTAAATGGCAATGGCATTGCTTTGGTGGCAGGAAGCATGCTATAACCACGGTACCACCATAGCTCTGGCCACACTCAAGCATACAACTAATTAATATTTAAAAATAAGTTTAAATGAGAGGATAATTGCATATTACTGTTAAAACATCAAATATATAACAAAAAAGGGCCTACTAGTTCAGTTGGTAGAGAACAATACAAATAAAGCATAGGCTGCTATTGTCATATGCGGATTATAAGAATTGAGGCATCAAATTAAGTACACTACATTTCAATTCCGTGATAATTTGTACGAAGAATTACAAATGTAACAAAAATTAATAAGAATTTGTAAATGGACAAGTTCAGTAGAGAAGAATTTGTTTCAGATAAAAGATAAATGACAATAATACAAGTATTGAACAACTGAGTGTAATTTAGTAAAGATAAAACATTTGATTCAAATTTAATAAAGAATCATCTAGCATAGAAAAAAGAAGAAGAAGAAGAAGAAGAAGATTAAATCACCTAGTAAATATGTGATCATAGGAGGCGGGTAAGGACTTCCGGAAACTTCAATTCATACTTCCATACTATGCCCGTATCAGTGCCTCATATTGGTTTCTACATAAAAAGGAAAAAAAAAACATTCTCGTATATTTTATTCTTATAAAAAAATATTGGAATACTAAAAGGTTAAAAGAATTAAATATTACAAAATATACACAAAACTAATTGTGGTTTGCAGGGACAGAAAGGCAGCGATTAGGGTGGAATAGTGTTTCAACAACGAAGATGAAGAGATCGGTTCACAACTTAGAGAGAGAGAGAGGGAGAGAGAGATTAGGGCGAAAGTGTCTGGTGATATTAGTGTTTCAGTAAGGACGAGGAAGAAGAAGAAGAAGAAGAAGTCAGGGTCGGAGCCTCCGCCACTGCTTTCAAGGATGAAGGAGCAAACCCCTGATTTTGCACAGCAGCCGCTGCAACGTAGCTCCTAGGAGAGAGAGAAGAATAAGAAAAGAAGATAGGGGCGGAAGGAACAGAAGAACAAGAACAAGAAGAAGAGGGAAAATTAAAAAAAAAACACCGTACCAACCTAATTTCAAGCGGAAGTAGCCTTCGATGCAGAAATCTTGACTTCGTTCCAGGTGCTAAATTCAAATCCTCACTTATTCCTCCTTTTATTTTTCCTGTTAATTTTCAATCTTCAAAAATTGATCCCCGTAACTTCACCTCCTTCGAACAATCTGCTCTCTAGGGTTCCTTTTCACTACCAAACAAAAACAAACAGAACCAGCAAAAGTGTTATAAGCAAGTCAGTAACCTTTATATATACAACAGTGAGATGTGAAACGAGGGAAGTGATTCGGGCACGTCCTATTTTTGATGAAAGGGGACATTCCAATCATTTTGTCCCAATGCATTTATGTTAAATGACCAAAGAACCCCTCCTATTTTAAATTTTCAAAGCATCTAAACAAGGTTTCTTTGTCTTTTTATTAGGGACCGTGCCCAATTTACCATAAATCGGATGTGCCCGCCCATACCATTTCATTTAATCGTTTATTTATTTTCTTGATGGAATTACAGGAAAGGGCATCCTTATATTGTAAATGCCTCAAGAGGTATTAATGCCACGTCATTGCTTCTAAGTAGACCTGTTCATGGGTCGGGTAGTCCTACGGGCCGGGCCGGCCCCCGGACGGGCTTGAGCATGTATTTTAGCCCACGGGCTTGACTTCGGGCCTAAAAGCTCGAGCCCGACTATTTTATGGGCTAGGCTCGGGATTTGTTAAAAAAGTCTGGCCCGACTTTTGTATAAGTTAAATCCTAATCCTAAATATTAATCCCTCTCTTCTCAACCCCTCTCTTATCACTTTTTCTTAGCTGAACAAACTTCCTTCTCAGTCACAGCCTCACATAACCAAACATTCCCAACCAGCGAACTCCAGCGGTGACTGTGAGTCCTCTCTCTCTCTCTCTCTCTTTTCATTGTTCAGTTGTTCCTCTTCTCATTTCTCCTTCTCACTCTCAGAATCTCAGCTCAGTTCATTTATCAAACGTTAACTCAAGCACCGGCAAACACAAGCACCGACAGCCAGTCCTTTCTCTTTGCCCTTTTTGTGGCGAACACAGACACAGACACAGGTACCGGCGGCGAACACAGACACAAGCGTCGATCTATCCTTTTGTTAGGTCGGGCTTCGAGCTTTTTATTAGGGTCGGGCTCGAGCTTGGGCCTAACAAAATCTTGTTTATGAAGAGTAAAAGCCCGGCCCGGCCCATGAGCAGGTCTACTTCTAAGTTCTAACTAAGGGTTAAGCGATGTCAATGGGTCGGGTCTTGACGGAGAAATATAAAATCCCGACCCGATTAGCTTGGCAAACCTTTAGGTTGATACTTTTGACAAAAACCCAATAAATGTATTTTTCTTATATATCGTATAACAACCCCCGCTTAGCATGAAATTAAATTGTAACTAAACTGTGTCATAAAAACATCTGTGTATATATATATATACACGTTTAATTATTTCTAACATAGGGATTTGCTTTTCTAATGTTTAGTCAAGTGGCACACTTTCTCCTAATTTGTCTCTAAATCCTATTTATCTCCTAAATTATTTTTAACTCTTATTTATCTTTTAAATTATCTCTAATTTAATAGAGATATTCTCTCCTAAACTATCTCTAATTCCGAATTATCCTCTCCCCAACTTTTTATCTATATCTATCTAAAGAAAGCTTCAATTAAAAATTTTCATAATTATTTAAATATTATAATAAAATTATATACTAAGTTTAAAATATTAATTCAAAACACAAAAATTAATTATAATAGATTTAATAGTATTCATATTATTCATAATTCTATATTTTTACAAAATTCATCATGAAATTATGTAGTAACAATATAACTTATAATTTTATGAATTATTCAATTTAAAAGTTATTCAAATAATAAAAAATTAACATTAAAAATAAAACATTATTTAAATATTTTAATAACTAAATATCTCAAATAACAAAACATTTAAAATAGATAAATAATTATATAAAAATATTTAATATTACATAAAAACATTAAAATAATGAAAATTTAAATATTTAAATAACAAAATATTTAACATCACTAAATTTTAAATAGTTAAAATAACGAAATTATGTAATAAATTTAAGAAATTTCTTGAAAAATAGAAAAATAATTATAATAGATTTCATGATATTCATATTAATAATAATTTCATATTTTACAAAATTAATAAAAAATTATATAATAAAAGTACTAATAATAATTTTATGGATTATTAAATTCAATAAATAATTAATATTTTAAAAATTAAATAACATTATTATTTAAATAACTAAATAATATTGTAAATAAATAATTTCACTTATATCAATTAATAATTATAGAAAATAACTTTTAAAAAAATTAATACTTATTAGTAATAATTTCACAATAATAATGTATATTCATTATATACTTATATATACTAAAATTAATATTTATTTTATTTTCAGTAATTATTGATTGTATTTTTTTGATAAATATGTTTTCAATAATTATTTATAAATCTTTTCTGTTTTGTTATTTAACAGAAAATTGTCAATAATTATTGGAGATTAAACAACTATTATTTAATTCTTGAAATTTAATTTATCGTATTTGTTGTATTTTTGTCATTAACTTATATTTAGTAATTATACAATTTTTATAATTTATAGATTAATATTTTTTAGAGATTAAACTATTATTTGATGTTACACTATTTATTGACTAGTTTAATATATTTTCAGTATTTATTGTATTTTTATAGACATCTATTATATTTTCATTATAAATTTATTTTCAATGATTGTGTACTTTTGCTATAAATTTTCAATAATTATTATAGCTTAAACTATTGTTATTTATTAGAGATTAAACTATTAATTAGGTTGAAATTAGGAGTGTTCAATGATTGGTTCAGTTTAGTTGCAGGCTGTTTTGCTAACCTAATTGATCTAGTCAGGTCGGGAGTTTGTCACCTGAATCTGATTGACCATTAGTGAAAACCCGCTGACTCAGGTTGTATCGATTTAGGTCTATTTTTGGTTTGGTTTATTTCTTCAAAAGATTTAAACTTAAAAATTAAATTTATGATATAAAATATTTTAGATTAAGAAATATGGGAATTTTCCCACTTTCCCGTATTAAAAAAAAATATAAAATATTTATATATATATATATATTTATGGTCGGGACGATTCAGTTTTGATCAATTTACAAATGGCCAAGTTGAAATTGACCTAACTTGGTCAGGTTGGAAAGTTGTTAAACCAAAGCCAATTGAAAATACTAGAAAATTGACCAACCTGGGTTGAGTTTGATTGAAATGATTATTAAAAAGTTAAAAACTTAAAATATAAAACAGTTATATACTCTTATATATTTCTATTGTTTAACTTTTACTTAACAAAGTTCGCAGATCGCATGGGTCCCCACTGGTAACTCCAGCCCTAATTGTAATGCTTTGATAGCATTTAATTGTTATCTAACTGACTTCATATCACATATCGATTGAAAAATAAAATATCAGGTATAGTATTATATGGAAAAGACACATTTTTATATCAGTTCGACTAACCTTCAAACTCTGAATCTGCTAAAGGGCTTGTTAAATGGACCAAGTAATCCAATCCTGAAGAAAACACACCAACAATTAATGTGATTACAAATTATTAGGTTATGTAGTATGTTATACATTCCATATTTGAAGTAGATGTCAAGTGGTGGAGGACCTGTTCCAAAGTGAAGCAAAGCCAACAATAGAGAGAGAGAGAGAAAAGTTAGGGTCCATTTGGTTTGCACTTATATGTATTTGGAGTTGGAATTGAAATGACCTATTCTGGTTTGATTAAAGGAATGGGGTTCTAATTCCTACTCTTGGCAGAATGGATTGATTCCCCCATTGCCATTTTTGCCTCCGCCCTTCAAAACAAGGTTCTCATTCCAATTGGCCACAAAAAATGACAACTAACTTATTAACTCCCAAATCCTATTTTTGTCCACTTGAGGCCAACCTTCCTTGGGAGTTCTACATATCTTATTGAATCCAATTCTAAGTCTAGACTGAACCAAATAGGTGGGGTGAATAAGTGATTCTAATTTTAAAGGATTTCAATTCCAATTCTGATCGTGAACCAAATGGACCATTAATTTAGTTAATGCTCTTATATATGATTTTAGTTGGACTAGTAAATTTTTATGGCGTTGCATGTGGCAATTTCAAATAATAATAATTATAAAAATTCATGTAAGAAAGATAAGTGATCAAAACATCGTGTATTAGAGGATTTGTTGATTTTCAAGTAAAAGACCTAGCTTCAAATCTTTTTACTTATAAATAACATAAAAAGTTTCATCTTGTAGTTGAATAAAATGATTGACCTGTCACCCAACCAAAATTATGAATACGTTTTAACCCAAAACCACTTTGTTGCATTAAAAAAATACCATTGGCTAGGTCAACAACTATGCGACCTTAATGTTAAAGTAATGGCTAATTTGACCAGGTTAACAGATGGGTTAGACATTAATTCTCCATTTTTTTTAGTTTTCTTGTTTTCATTTGTTGTAATTTTAGCCATTTCTACATTTAATAACAAAAAGTCCCATTTTGCAAACACATTTTGGTTTAATATGAACAATATATGATATTAAAAACATGCTCAAATTTATATAAATTATGTATATTTTTTTTTATTATTTAATTTATGACATCATAAGTTGATTTGTTTGATTGAGAGAGAAACATAGTTCTAGACGATTTTTAGAATATTGGTTTTTCTATCCCATTGTCAAACTAATTGGTCAACCCATCACCTGAATAGTATTCTAGGTTCATATACGGCCAAACCGCATCAGACATCACTAACATCACCCAATCCTTATCCCAACTATATCGGGTTCACTACATGAATCTTGTTTTGCCATTTCGTTCTATTTAATGTCATATATATCCATTATTAAATCATGGGCACTTAAATCATTTCTAACTACTTGGATTTATGTCCTTTTTGGTTCACCTTTGGGTCTTCTAGTCCCTCAACTTGTAATAGATTACTTTTTCTTACAGATGTTGGTGGTTTTCTATGCACATGACCAAATTGATTGCCTGCAAAAAAATGATAGACTTGGTTAACAACATGGTGACCTATCTAATTAAACTGTTTAACCCAATTAGTGGGGCTACGAGTTAAACATCAATTATCTTTTTTTCATAATTTTTGCATTCCATTTCC